CAGCCTGAAGTGAATAGCCAAACAGCGTTCGGCTCACTTCGCTTTAGGTTGGTCATTCTCTCGGCTGCCTATGGCAGCTTAGTGAATAGACCCCTAAGTGGTTGTAATTTTCACCTAAAATACATTTGTAGATGATTGTTAACTAAGTCCTTATAGTTATTATAGAATTATGGGACAAGGTGAACAGTTTGTCATGAAGCACTCTGTAAAGTCTGTTGTATCTTGGTGCAATATAGTAAATTAAAAGGTCGGCCGACCCGAAGTGCAGAAGGAGTTCGACTTAGCCGATCCAACATCTGGATCGGCTATGCCGAACATCCGGCAGGCTAGTCGCTGCTGTTCGGTCTATTCTTATAGATGCCGAACAGCAGTGAGTAAGTAGCCGAATGCCGCTGAGCGGCATTCGGCTCGGCTGTTGTGCTCGGTCCCTCTGTTGGACCGAGCAGAACAGAAAAATAGTTTAAAAAGTACAAAAAAATAAATAGAAAATGATTGTGCGAAGCTAGCAGTGACAGCTAGCTCCGCCCAACTGTTTTCTATTGGCTGGGCTGTTCTGCTGCCGTCCAAAAAATAAAATAAAAACATTTCGCCATAGGAATGCATTGCAAGATTCCTATTGGCTATTTCAATTTGCAATAGCCAATAGCAAACTAGCTATTGTACCCGCCCTCTGCTGCTGTCACTCAGTAGAGGGGACCTGATGGAGAACTGCAGGTCCCCTCTGATGATTGACAGCAGCAGTGGGAGCAACTTCGGGAGCTGCACAGGCTATAGGGAATAGCCCGTACAGCAGCCCTTTGGCCCTCAGGGGTCCTGGGGCCAAAGCTAGCCGAAGGATCAGGCGAAGCTATGGCTAGATCTTTTGGCTGCTTTGTGAATAGACCCCAGAATGTTTCAGTGTGAACAAAGCCTGAAATGCATGTCACAAACATTTTTGGAGGGTCTTTTTGACTTTTGTGCATGATGTCATAGATGTGACTGCTTTCCATTGGGCAAATCAGAAATCCAGCTAAAGCTGAATGTTTAAAACAAATTCATAAATGTGCATAAAAACACTGACAAATGCTTTTTAATAAATGCCTGAAAATGCCCACAATTCAGTCTGAACAGGACCTTTTTGTTCCAGGATTGTCATTGTCCCTGCCCTGAAATCCATGGCAAGCAGTGTGTGAGTACCAGCAGTTGGTTAGGCATTGGGGACCCTGGAACTTCTGCCTGCGCACAGCCCTGACCCTTCAGAGATCTAGATCAGGATACTGGTCACCTGGCAGCTATTTAAACCTAAATGAATACAAAATACTACTATTTTGATTACTATTAATACGCGCTATATGGGGAATTTATCAAAACTGGAGCAGACAAAATCTGCAGCAGCTGTGCATAGCAACCAATCAGCTTCTCTCTTTCATTTTCGAATCTTAACTGAACAAACTGAAGAGAGAAGCTGATCGTTTGCCATGCACAGCTGCTTCAGGTTTTGTCTGCTCCAGTTTTTATAAATTCCCCTCTATATGCTTTATATTTACATGTACTGTACCCTGCTTGCTTGATGTGATCGTGGTTTACATAAAACTTTTTTACTCATGACGTTTAAATACATGTTCATTATACAATGTACTTTGTGTACTGCTTTCTTGAACAAAAATGAAATAAAACAGTAATGTTTTACTGGACTAATGTAAAACATTTTGTCCATCTTTTTGTTTTAATAGGAGGCATTTGAAAGAATACAGTAACTTAACATACAATATGTGAAACATGGTAACACATGAAAAGGTTTCTATCCCACAACATAGTTCCTGAATATTGCTATTAAATCAACCAAAAACAGATGTATTGCTCATTAATACTACTTATAGCTGAAATGCTGTGATTCAGTATCAGCCGGAGCACAGGTCACATCTGTAGCTTGATACTGAATAGCAATTTAGCATCACAGTCCATTACTGTAATGTATGTAGGTTTAGGCAGTTCACAGAGACACGTGTAAGCTACAATTTAGTACAAAGGCATGGGAAAGCTCTTAGCAAAGAAAAAGGTTCTAAATCAGATGTTCCATTTTTTGTGCCATTCTAACACTGTTCTTACATTAGGGAGGCATTTAGAAGGAGTAGATGCAAATTCAGACATTCTCTTCTCTTAGAAAGGAATATAAAGTAGCCTCAACAGAATTGGAGGAATAATGTGGTCTAATTGACACTTTAATGTCTAATACGTACCAAATAAAGAAAAATAAAAGGAGCTGATAATGTGGTTATATATACTATGCATATAGAGCACTGAGAAAGTTTCATTCTGTATGATATCACTGTTCAATATATATATATATATA